TAAGTACAAAATAGAACTGAAAGCAGAGTTTGGAGAGACGTCTGTGCCCGCATGCTCACAGCAGTGTGGTCCACAACAGCCAAGGGGCGGGGGCGACTCCGGCATCATCCCCGACAGGTGAATGGATAAACATAACGTTGTCTGCCCATACAACGGGGCACTTGGTCTTAAAAAAGAAGGAAATCCTGACACCTGCGGCCACACGGATGAACCTTAAGGCCATTTTACTGAGAAAGAAGCAGTCACAAAACACAAATATCTACAAGATTCCTAGGGCAGTGGGACCCTAGAGACAGAAAGGGCCAGTGGGTGCCAGGGGCTGGGGTAGGGATTGGGGGTGAGTACCGATGGGGACAGAGGTCCAGTTGTGCAAGATGCAGAGTCCCGGGGATGGCGGCGGGGCTGCACAACAGCGTGAATGCACTCATGCCCCTGGTGCACACTTAGTAGTATTTCAGATGATGAGTTTTGTTTTTACCACAATTAAAACAAATTTTGAAAACTACTTAAAGACCGACTGCCATCTACCTCTGCTGCTGGAACATCTCCCGGGCCCCATTCTCTGCGAGTAGACGGGGCCGCCGCAGCCAGCACCTCCATCAAAGGAAACAGGCTGCCCACAAACAAAGTGTACATGTGACACAGGCCGAGAGGACGGGGAACCAGACGGCAGCCAGGTGCGCAGCGGGACGCGGGGAAGGGAGAGGCCCCGGCGCTGTCACCTCGTGTTCCGCATGTGGCAACCCCCACTGTGGGGTCTCTCTGGACCCTCTGGCTCAGTCTGGGCCCACTCTTCTCCCTCAGCTCTCTGCACTGACCGGCCATCCCAGCATCCTAGTCTGTCTCCCCAGACTTCAAGCATGCTGAGTGCAGTGGCTCTGTCCCACCCACACTGGCCCTGCACAAGGGAGACAGATTCAGGGAGCCCTCGGAGGCACTGAGGTGGCCAGCCTGAGCCCTAAAAAGTGGGGCTGGGGGTGGGTGGACAGACAGGGGGACAGGACAAGGACAGAGGCACAGGGACTTCCTGGAGGGGCTGCCCCTGGTGCTGCGAGCCACGAAGGAGGACGTGGAACTCACCACGTGGAGCAGAGCTCAAGGGGTGGTGGGGATGACAGACGACTTGCCCTGCAGCTTCCCTGTGCCTCCCCGCCCCGAGCACTCGCAGACTGGTCTGTGGCTCCAGGCCACCAGGGCAGGAGAGACAGGGGTAACTGCATTCCTGGAGAAGAAAGACCCCAGACCCGACTCTAAACAGTAACCTGAGAGTCGCACTCCACTGGG